TGTGTTATCCGGGCATCGGTTGGCAGCGCTGTCCGCGTTTGCGGCGCGCCCACCTCGGACGCGGGGAACGATGGAACTTTTGGAAGGCCCTCGCCATGCCCAATCGAGAGGGGGGCGATCGAGCATCTTCGATGGACATCACTCGCTTCTTTGGGTTTGTTGTCTGACCGTTTCCCAGCAGAGCTGGGGGCGCTGGTTCCCAATGCAATCTCGCACACGCGTTGCGGCACCCTGGCGGCAACGGCGCCTTCCAGTCGCACCCCGTCGGTTGGCCCTTAACCTGGACATGTTCGATCACCTTCTTGGCGCCAAGGTCAATAGTTACACGACGGACAACGTCGCCACAACATGGCCCACTTGCATTTGATTGCATGTCGCTTCTCACATGTGTATGTGTGCGGGTGAACACTTGCAAGTATACGTGTGCGTTGTCTTTTCCAGTGGTCCTATGTTGACTTAGTTGGTCCACAAGTTGCATTGTCAGGAATGCCATTGTTTTGTTTCGCAAGTCGGCACGTTGCTGGTCGCGTCCGCGCCAATCCAACTGATGACCCTTGGCATTCGTACATGCGCATCTCCATGAGGTTCCCCAATCAGACCTTGCCTCTGCATGGGATCCTAGCGGATTCGCATGGCTTGGTTCGCCGCCGATGTCGGCGGCACGGCCAGGTGCTCGGGTTACCAGATGCCCGGGCGCACCAGTGCCCGGATGCCCGGGTGCCCGGGCGCCAGGGTGCCCATGTGCCCGGGTGCCTGGGTGGCCGGGTGCCCGGGTGTCCAGGTGCCCGGGAGCCCGGATGCCCGGGTGCCCGGGAGCCCCATTGCCCGGACGCCCAGGTGCCGGGTTGCCATATAGCCCCATAGCCCTATAGCCTTATAGCCCTATAGCCCTATAGCCCTATATCCCCATAGCCCGATTGCCCTATAGCCCTATAGCCCAATAGCCCAATAGCCTTATAGCCCTACAACTCTATAGCCCTATAGCCCTATAGCCGTATAGCCCTATAGCCCTATAGCCCTCTAGCCCCTATAGCCATGTAGTCCTATTGCCCTATCGCCCTATATCCTCATAGCCATATAGCCCTATAGCCCTATAGCCTTATAGCCCTAAAGCCCATAAAGCCCAATAGCCCAAGAGCCCCATAGCCCGATAGCCCTCTAGCCCTATAGCCTTATAGTCCTATAGCCCTATAGCCCTATAGCCCCATAGCCCGATTGCCCTACAGCCCTACAGTCATACAGCCTTATAGCCCATAGCCCTAAGCAGATTATGATTGGGGCTTTTCTCCGGTATCATTATCGGCATTTTGGCCACGGTGTACATACTTGTATGCATGAGCCCTGGGTTCGACCACCGCGGTGCAGTGCAGGCGCTGTTTGGCCGCGGCGAAGACCCCTTCCAGTGTTGAGTCGCTCCTGAAGCCAGGGGCCAAGTGTGCTCCGCCTCCCATGCTCCAGGCCTTGGCCCAGGCCGTGGAGCCGATGGGGTGGCGGTCCCGCGCGGAAGGGGGGGCCGGGGTGGAGTCTGCTGCCGCTGCTCCTGCTGTGGGGGCGGAGATGGGCTTGCTTCTCTTCGAGTGTGATGGCCATCGGGTCCAAGGGGAGGAGGAGGAGGAGGAGGAGGAGGAGGAGGAGGAGGAGGAGGGTCCGTGATTTTTCTGCCCTCTCTGTGGGGCGCGGGTGGCTGTCGGCTCTCCCAAAGTCGATGCCCTCGGGGATGCCCCTGTCCTTCGGCCTCCCTGCCCTTCGGCCCCCCCCCCCCGGAACCCCGCCCGTCGACGAGCCGGGGACTGGCTCGCTGATGGCAGGCACCCTTCTGCAGGCACGGTGCTGACTGCCTAGTTCGTTGGGTTCCACGCTGGCGTTGGCGGCTTTGCCGCGCCAGCCTCTCACTGCTTTGCTGTCAGTGTTTTCCGCACCTCTTTTCAGTTGTGCTTCCATCTCCTGTCCAGGCTGTGTGTCGTTCTCGGATGACTCATTGTCCTATGGCTCCGCTCCGCTCCGATCCACCCCTACGACATCTTCCCCAAACCCATGATTACGGCATCTCGCCTGGGCAACACGCCTGGGCATCCGACTCCGTCCGAGGCCGCGCGTTACAGTCGAGATTGATCGGAGAGGACACGCGAGAGGACACAAGACCCTCGCCGAGGGCCACACTGCCATAGAAATGCAGAAAGCATGGGTCGCGAACCGCAGGACACGAGGGTCCCCTTCCTTATAAATCCGGGGGGGGGATCCCCCCATGCCCCCCCCCCCAAACTGGGATAAACTTTTGGCGCGCCGCGCGGATTTCTTGGATCTGTGCTAGTCCCCTCCCTGGCGCGCGGAGCGCGCCAGGGGCGGTGCCGGAGGCGCCGCCGGGGGGGGCCAGCGTGGATCCAAGAAATTCGCGAGGAGCGCCAAAAGGTTTATGTGTGTGTCGTTCTTTCCTCTTCGACTCCCGCCCTCCCCTCCCTGCGCCGCCCCCGATCGTCTCGTCTTCGTCCGTCGCTCGTCGCCGTGTCGTGTCTTCGTCCAGCCCCGTCTGCGCCCGTCAAAAAAAAGCCTCAGCTGCTGGAGGCCAGGCGCCTTCCCCCCCTCGCCGACAACGACCTCGTGGCGTGGCGGGGACGAGCCTGGCCAGGCGCCCCCTCTCCGGGGCGCGTGGGCCCGGCCGGCTCGCGGCCGAACCGGCTGGGGTCTGGGGAGCACGGGATCCTCCCACGCTCGTCGAAGACGGGCGGCCTGCTCGGGCGGGTGGCAGTGGGGGGGACCTTCATGGGGTGACCTCCGTCCGCTCGCTGCGCGTCTTGCTCCTAAGACGAAGCAAGGACGAGATAAAATCAGGTGAGGATAAATCGAGAATCTCTGAGATCCGGCGGCTCTGGAGGATGTCTCGGGCACCGCGGCCTCCTCAGAGCGTTCCGGAAGGCTCTGAGAGCGCTCTGGAAAGCTCTGGAACGGATTTGTCCTCGTCCTAGCACCGTCCGACGGAGGACCCGCACGGGGCCGTTTAGGGACCCTTTTGGGCCCCTGCTGGCTCCTCAAGAGACCCTACGGCCTAAGGGGCCTCTGTAGGGCTCTTTGCTCCACCCCCATGTAGGTCACCCCCCATTACCACCCGCCCGACCTGCAGGAGATGTTCTGGCCAGGACTCGGCAGATCCTGGTCGGAGGTGGACTCGATGTCGCTCGTCTGGTTGCCCACTGCCCCGCCCCTGGCCAGCTCCACTCCCGGCAACAACTCGGGCGCCGCGAAGGCTCCGGACACGAGCTGGCGTGACGTGCGGCTGCCCATGCGAGGCTCGCGGATCCGCATGTCGAGCCTCCTTTGGGCGTCGCGCAATGGGGGGGCGATGATGGGGGAGAAAGGTGTACTCTGCGGGCCTTGAAAGCCCCCCCTCTGGGGCCAGAAAGGGCCCCTCAGGACCCTACAGAAACCCTCAGAAGCCCCAGCCCTCGCTGCCCCCCATTTACTGCACTCCTCATGTAGGGAAGGTCTTCGAGAGTCACAGGTGCTGAACTCCGAGGAGGCTGGAGCGCACGGGGCCTGCGGATCTGGTCGGTGCCGAGGCCGCTGGAGCCCGGCACGGCCCCGCCGTGGCCCACTCCGCAGGGGCGCCCGCGGCCAATCCTGGGAGTCGAGGGCTGCCTTGGTGCGGGCGCCACGCTGGATGCCTCCGCCCACGCCAACGCTGGCCTTGGTCGCTGCTCGCTGACGGGAGGGAGACTGTCGCCCCTAAAAATCGGCATCACTGCGGTGCCTAAGAGTGGTGGGGGCGCTGCAGTGTCGCGCAGGGCTACCTGTGGATGGTAACAACAATAGATTCGCCCAAATGCTGAGCAAGAAACGGCTTGAGCCACTTTTGTGATACGGATTGCAACCTTTTGAGCGGTGCTGGGAGGCCGCTGGGGCATCTGGAGATCTCAGAAGTATCATGGTGGACTGTTGGTCCATCTTTGACACCTCGCGGAGTGCACTGTGGTCCCTCACAGGCCGTATTGTGTGGGGACTCGCGGGACTGTGGGGAGACGTCAGGGGGGACAGGCTCACGGGGGGGAAGCGTCCATCTGGAATTGGCGATACATCGCCGACAGTTCAGCGACCAGCCCCTGGTAGCGATACTGGACAGTCCTGGGCGGGGCGGGCTCTTGGGCCCCCTATCGGCGATCCATGGGCGATTGGGGGCCGATGCATCACCCCCTGAGCCTCTCCCCTCGACTTTTGCCACTGAGGGAGGACCGAGGGGCCTTATATTAGCCACCCCGTGCCATCACGAATGGAGGCTCCCCCAGGCAAGAGCCAGCTCCAAGGCGGACCCCAAGGATGCCCCCTTTGGAGGCTCTCTGTTGGGCCCTCTGGAACCTCGCACGACTGTCATAAGCCCAAGGCCTTCCTTGTTTCTCTTGGCGCCCTCTTTGGCTATTTCGGGATGTCGCTGGGGGCCCTCTCTTGGGCAGCCTTCGAGCACGCAGAAAGCCATTCGAGATCGTGTTGAGCCGAATGTCCAAAGAAACTAAAATTAGGTAGATCATGTCCTCCTACAGGCTTATATCGGAAGACAACCATCACAGTATTCAAAAAGATGCATTAACAGTGGAAAATCGGCCCCATATGTTTTCCCAACCATCCTGTGATGTTAGGTATTCGTGTTGAAGAGACAGCGACACGCGTTCCTCCTCTCCTCTCCTATCCTCTCCTCTCCTCTCCTCCTCCCCCTCCTCCCTCCTCCCATCATCATCATCATCATCATCATCATCATCATCATCATCATCATCATCATCATCATCATCATCATCAGCATCAGCATCATCATCATCATCATCATCAGCAGCAGCAGCATCCTCATCCTCATCCTCATCCTCATCCTCATCCTCATCCTCATCCTCATCATCATCATCATCATCATCATCATCATCATCATCATCATCATCATCATCATCATCGTCATCGTCATCATCATCGTCGTCATCGTCATCGTCATCGTCATCGTCATCGTCATCATCATCATCATCATCATCATCATCATCATCATCATCATCATCATCATCATCATCATCATCATCGACCCCAGGCACGGCAGCCTGCGGGGTCGGCCGCTGCGTGGCCGCTGCGAGGGGCGCCACGCTCCACGAGCGGGCGCGCCTGCAGGGCGTAGCAGCGCCCTGGCCACGGAAAGTGCGCCGGGGGCGGGCGGGCATGCGCGGACTGAGCCCCGTGGCAACAACACCGCTGGCCACGGCGATACGGGATCTTAAACACCTCCACGGGCCTGCGAGCGAACCGCCCCTGACCCAAGCCTCGGGAGAGTCGCGGGGCGCAGTTGCTCCCTTCGCGCCCCCAAAACACGGGGCACCGCTGGCCACGCCAGCTGCGCTGGATGCGCGAGGGTACGCGCGGAGGGCGTGGACCACGCTGGCCACGTAGTGTGCGCGGGAACCAAGCGGGCGCGCACGGGAGAGATGCAAGCGAGGCTCACTGAAGGGGCACGGAAAGGGCACCGGCCCAGGGCACCCGTAGCCAGGGAACCGTTAATCTGGCACCACGAACGCTATGGGCAAGCCTGGTTATGGAACGCGTCCAGATTGAAGGCTGGCCCCTACAAAAATGAGCCTGGTGAAGGACCCAACCATAGGCAGTTGTGAGCACCGTCGTTGTATGCACCGCTTTCGGAGGAGCTCCCTATGGGGCCACGAAACGAGCGAGGGGTGTACCACCAGCCACTGGGGCCGTTGGTGGAATTCAGTATGGGGCCGCGAAACGCGTGAGCGGTGTGCCGAAATAGGTGCGGTGGGCGCATGCGAAAGCAGCCACTGAGACCGTCGGTGGAACTCCCTATGGGGCCGCGAAACGTGTGATGGGTGACCCGATGGGTGTGCCGACATGGGTGCGGTGGGCACATGCGAACGCAGCGACTGGCGCCTTCAGCGGAGCTCCCTATGTGGCCACAAAACGCGTGAGGGGCGTGCCGGAATAGGCGTGGGTGACGCATGCGGGCGGTGGAACCCGGGCCTTCGTTGGAGTTCCCTGTGGGGCCACGAAACATGTGAGGGATGTGACGAAATGGGTGTGGGTGACGCATGCGGGCGGTGGCACTGGCGCCTCCGGTGGAGATCCCTACGGGGCCACGAGACGTGTGAGCGGTGTGCCGAAATGGGCGTCGGGGACGCATGTGGGCGGTGGCATTGGGTCCTTCGGTGGAGCTTCCTATGGGGCCACGAGACGTGTGAGGGGTGTGCCGAAATGGGCGTGGGGGACGCATGCGGGCGGTGGCACTGGGGCCTTCGGTGGAGCTCCCTATGGGGCCACGAGACGTGTGAGGGGTGTGACGACATGGCTGGGGGGGACGCATGCGGGCGGTGGCACTGGGGCTTTCGGTGGAGCTCCCTATGGGGCCACGAAACGTGCGATCGGTGTGCCGAAATGGGCGTGGGTGACGCATGCGGGAGGTGGCACTGGCGCCTCCGGTGGAGATCCCTATGGGGCCACGAAACGTGTGAGGGGTGTGCCGCAATGGGTGTGGGGGACGCATGCGGGCGGTGGCACTGGGGCCTTCGGTGGAGCTCCCTGTGGGGCCACGAGACGTGGGAGGGGTGTGACGAAATGGGCTGGGGTGACGCCCATGCGGGCATGGTCGGCACTGCGAGACCTCGGATGGAACCCCTATGGGGCACGAAACGGCGATCGGTCATTATGTGCACGAAAATGGGCGCCGTAAATGTGGGCGACGCTGAGGGCAGTAGCGATGGGGCTTTCGGTGTGAGTCCTTGTGGGGCCACGAAAGCAAGACAAACGAACTCCTGTGAGGCGTGTGGACTGCCGTGGAAAATGGGTTGTGGGGACGAATGCGGGCGGTTAAAGAGTGACTGGCACTGGCGCCCTCGAGGGAAGCCCCTATGGGGCCACGAACGTTGCGATCGGATGGCCCCGGAAATGGGTGTGGGCGACGCCATGCGGGAAACAGGGGCAGGCAGTGGTACTGGGGCCTTCGGTGGAGCTCCCTGTGGGGCCACGAAAACGTGTGAGGGTGTGCCGGAATGGGCGTGGGTGACGCATGCGGGCGGTGGCACTGGCGCCTTTGGTGGAGATCCCTACGGGGCCACGAAACGTGTGAGGGGTGTGACGAAATGGGTGTGGGTGACGCATGCGGGCGGTGGAGGGGGGAGGGCGAGGATGCGTGAGTGACGCGGGGCGCTGCTTCTTCAAAATGAGGACCCAACACCACAGGATGGTTGGGACAAAAAGAGAATCTGGGGGGCGTATGTCACAAAAAGATCTGGCTACCAGATGTATGGTTCCCCCCCGCCACCACCACTGCATAAGCGGCCACGCTCGAAATGGTGACTGCCGCCGCGGGGGAACAACAGCGACTCATTCAGAAAACAAGCGGCCCGTTGCTGGGACATCCCGTGTTGGACAGACTGCCTCGGTGCCGACGGGGGCGTTTCGGCGTCGCGCAAACAATCCGACTGAGCATGACCGAAATGGAAACCCAGAACCACTTCCGCTGAGAATTTCACGGACAGCCCGACTGGACAAATGGGGACGCCAGATGTCTGGCGCCCGGAATCATCTGGAACTTCCTGGACAGCTGTGCAACGAACGGCCTGCTTCAGCACAGAAAAGCGAAAACAATAGATGTGGTTGGAACTCCCTGCAGGGATATTGGCACGCCAAAACCCGGCCCCTTTTCCTCGTGCCCCCCCCCCCCGCGGAGAAGGAAGAGATGGAGGAAGAGGAGGAGAAAGAGATGGATCAGGTTGAACAGGCCAACGGGCTCGTCCGGAACCACAGCGCCATCGCAGCGAAGGAGGAGGCGGAGGAAGAGGGGGAGGAGGAGGAGGAGGAGGAGGAGGAGGAGGAGGAGGAGGAGGAGGAGGAGGAGGAGAAGGTTGAGGAGGAGGAGGAGGAGGAGGAGGAGGAGGAGGAGGAGG